GTATGTATGTGTGAGTGTGTGTATGGGATGTCCCCAACTATTTGATATTTGATATACATATGGCAAGTAAAAAACATATTGCTATATTTTAATCGTTGAATGCCAATTTGTTGATATAGTTATGTTGATAACATTACCCAAATTTGAAATCGATCGGACAAAATGTATAACACAAACTATTCATTTGAAAAAGTGAATAAATATAAAAACCCCAATAATGAAATTAAATGCGATATATCGAAAATATCGATACTTGTGTTGATATATCGTAATACATGTCGAATACAAATACAACGAAAAAAAACGTTTGAGAGTTATTGATTATAATACTGTATTCGATTACTCACTGTACACATATGTACATAAATACATACAAATGTATTTGCATGTGTACGGTAACTGTAAACTTTTGGCATTTTGCGTATGCAATTAACAGCCGTAAATTATCAAAACGAAAGAAGATTTGCGAGCCAATAACTTGCTGTTGTTGTTGTTTTAAAAATTTTGATTTGAAAACATATAACACTATTTATTACAATTAAACAACGGTGTTCGATGGCCCACTGCATACATACAAACCTATATATGTATATAAGAATGTATGTACGTACATACATACTTATTGATGTACATATGTACATACTATACATACAGACGTATGTATATATGTATGTACGTATGTAATACATATGGTGCTGGTGTAATTCATAATGCGAAATTCTTTCTAAGGGGAGCAATGTCCCCCCTGCCCAACCTGCGTACGCCCTTGTAGTCCGTTGTCCTAAAAACCCCTTATGCCAAATGTACTAAACAAAGAAAAAATAACATCAAAATGTTTATGTTATAATGTTAATAATTTTTAATTAATTAACATTTCTTGCCCTGTCAGTGCAAGACGAATGTACTTTTATACATATGTATGTATGTATGTATGTACATACATGTGTACAAATGAACATTCACACATTAGTGTCTCACATTTTGCTTTGGCTACTTCAACCGTTTGCACGCAACTACACGAACAGCTGCTTGTATGTATGTATGTGTGTGTGTGTATGTATACTTAGTTGTCCCCAACTGTTTGATATTTTGTATTGTTTGTTCTGCCTGCATTTGTAAAATGCATATTTTAAAAATCGTTAAATGCAAAGTTGTAATTTTAGTTACGTTTGGGTAATATAATACCCAAATTTGAAATCGATCGGACAAAATTTATAACACAAACTTTTCATTTGAAAAAATGAATAAATATTAAAACCCCAATAATGCAAGCTCCAACACAAATTTCGAAAAACCGAGTATGCAGTTTTGTTTGTATTCTTTTATAGATTATAAAAACCGAATTTAAAGTTGATCGATTCAGAAATGCAGAATTTTCAAACAAACTTTGGAGCTACTTTCCCCCCCTTTGAAGCTCGAATTTCCAAAAACCCTTCTTAGTGCGCATCTACACCATGATAGGATACTTGAGCCCAAATTTCAGTTTCCTAGCTTTTACCGTTTGGGCTGTGGGGTGTTGATTGTGTTTCAATTTTTCCACGGAAAACCCCCCCCCCCCCCCTTTTTCATGCCCCAGGAAAAATGGTGAAAAATCAAGTATACAGTTTTTCTTGTATTCTTTTTGAGAGTATACAAACTAAGTTTGAAGTTAATTGGATGAAAATTGTAGATTTTTCATACAAACGTTGGAGCCCGCTTTCCCCCCTTGGCGTTCGAATTTTCCAAAACCGCTTCTTAGTGCTCACCTACACCACTGAAGACAACATGTGTCCAATTTTCAGCCTCCTAGCTCTTACCGTTTGGGCTGTGCGTTGATTGCACATAGCTTTTCGTTTACCGAATTTTCCACCGGAAAATCATTATTATTCAGGCCGCAGGAAAAATATTGAAAATCCAAGTATACAGTTTTTTTTGTATTCTATGTGAGAGTATACAAACTAAGTTTGTCGGATAAAAATTGTAGATTTTTCATACAAACGTTGGAGCTCGTTTTCCCCTCTTTGGAGCTCGTATTTTCCGAAACCCCTTCTTATTGCTCACTTTCACTATAAGAGGGATCTTGTGTCCAAATTTCAGCTTCCTAGCTCTTACCGTTTGGGCTGTGCGTTGATTGCCAATCAGTCAGTCAGTCAGTCAGGACAAACTGTTTTATATATAGAGATGTCATTTTTAGTTATTAATTAATTAAATTTATAAATTAATAAAATTATAGGATCAATGACCGATGATGAACTCGCCATGATGAGTGGCCATCAACGACAGATAAATAATACTTGTAATAATACATAAACGACATGTTAGGATTTTGGCATCCTGTCAACGATACACTATGTTTCCCGAATTGGGCTGTTCTCTCGTGCTTATACTCTGTACATAAAATGCACAAGAGTATATTAGGTTTGCGCGAGCTGAAAAATGTAACAGGCAGAAGCAGGCGTCTTGATCAGCATGACAAGACGAGTCGATCTATGTGTGTTTGTCCGTCTGTCTGTCCGTATGAACACCTGGATATCAGAGACTATAAGAGCTAGAGACACAAATTTTTGACAAAAATGCCTTATGTGTGTACACTGTGCAATTTTTTTTATTTTTTGAATTCCGCCCTTAAATTTTTATTGTTTTGGCTATGAAACTCAAAAAAAAATCATTTTGCGCTTGAATTAAAAAGGTGAATGTTGCATTTTGTACACAACGCCTGAGTTTCAGACCTGAATCCCCTCAATTTGCATATATTTTTACCACTGCGATCCAACATTTTACACCACTGACCAATCTGGTCGTAGCGTACCTCGTTTGTTGCGAAATAGCATTTCTTTGGTAGTGGTTGTGATAATGGACGACTTCGGCAACGGGATTGAACAGAGCCATACATTGATTCAGCCACTTCACTGCGAAAGTTAGGCAGCTGACAAGGAGTGACTCCTTTGTTCAGTCGGTGGTAAAAAATATACGCATTTACCATTGCCATATCCAACACATGAAAAAATATGCGATTTCTCCACTTTCTGGTCTTCATATGTATATGGTAACGATCAATAGGTCCGTTCATCAAATCCACTCCACCAATTTGCCGATTACATTATCTTATAATTATTGGGCAGAGAACGGCAACAAGTATGTTCGAGTATGTTCGACCACCCTTGCTGAAAATTCAATCAAATCAGATCTTTGATTGGCTGCAAACGAGCTCGAACGAGTTGAGTACTCTCAGCATTTTTCTTATGATCGAACTTGCATGAGCAATCTTTCTATTTTTACGAACAAGCACCGGTCTTGATTGGTTTGCTTTCAAACAGTTCAGGCTCGGTCACTTCGAGTATTCTGTTCGTTGCGAACGGGTACCAGCCTTGATTGGTTTGGTTTCTTTTCGCTAATAGTTTTGTCGGATTCTTTAATTTATATGCATATACATACTTGTATACGAAGTTACTATTAAACTAATAGCCAAAAAACAATAGAAAATGCAAGGGCACGTGCACCCGCCGATATCATTGATCATTTCTTGCACGCAGGCAAAAAGTTTCGGTCACCGCCGCTCATTCTGAGTCTGCAGTTGTAAGTCGAACTGACTGGTTGGCGAGCGTTCGTTCACAACCGGTCATTGCTTGCATTCATGCAAGAATTTTCGGTCACAACCGCTCACTTCTGAATTTTTGCAGTTGTGAGTCGAACTGACTGGTTGTTGAGGGTTCGTTTAAAACCAATCATTGCTTGCATTCATGCAAGAAGTTTCGGGCACAACCGCTCACTTCTGTGTTTTTGCAGTTTTGATTCGAACTGAGTGTTCGTTGAGGGCTCGTTCGCAACCAGTCATTGCTTGTCACTATACCCAAATGATATAATCATACCGAGTATGGGTAAATACTCGAGTATGACCGAAAATGTAGTACTCGTTGCAGTTCTCTGTTATTGGTCATTCTATCTCGATATTGCCTTATTTTTTTGATCCCATTTAGTTACTTTTTGCAATTGATTATCTACTTTGAGACAAGAATGTTTGAGTGGCAACGTTAGAAGATTCCAAACGCATAGAACGGTAGAGATGTCCATACCGAAAGCTGAACCAACAAACTCTCCGGAATAGCCACGAATAGCATTTTTTGCACCAAGGTCAGAATCAGGTGACAATTTTCAGTTTGGAACACGATTAACTCGTACAGTCCCCAAACTGTAAATGCCACTGCTCTGAAGATAGCAAGCCAAGTGTAGAAATTAACAAAATAGATTATATTATTGACGTTGCCTGGAACATTTTTAGAAAGTCTTACAACGACATTGGATGCAGCGCCAAGATCAAGAGCGTTCTCAAGTATGACGTTATCTCCAGCGCCAGAATAAATTTCGAAAGCATATGAGAGTCCGGCCGAATTAAATATAGATGATAGTTTTGTTCCCCATTTATAAGGTTTAGCTGGCATATACTGGCGGGTCGAATTGCCTTGCATTTCTTTCGGTCACATTTCCTCATCAACACACAAGCTTTGGAGCATGGGAATAGTTTGAAATCGTTTGTTAAATGTTAAATCGGAATGGCAGACGAATTATCGTTAAAATTCAGTCTTTTGCGAATTTCATCAAACCTTTTTCGATTCACTGAACTCCTTACTATTTCAAACGAATATTTTCCCCAATACGAACGCACATTTGGATATCGATAGACCGACATGAAGAGCATGATGACAATAAAGTTTCGAAGTTCCACTTTCGTTGTGAACCGAGCCTGTATATCTTTTTGAAGGGCGTATAGGTTAATTTGCTCAGCCTAAAGGACTAAAAAAAAATAAAAAATTTAAGATGACGACTTTTATCAAGTGAGCAATTGCGGAACTACCCGTTCATTTAGAAACTCATCTGTCAAAAAATGTGAAGCATTCACAATAGTTTAAGTGAAATGGCATTTCCTTTTGGCCTTGGAATACGAGCTCATTCACATGGAGACATGAATGTTTCTTTTTCCAAGTAAATGATTTGAAAATGGGGGAAATTGTAAACTCATTTACATTGGCGAAAAGACCAGCAGGTCCATAATCCTCGAATTCCAGCTCAGTAAAAGGTTCACGTCGACGTTTGTTGGATCGAGATTGCATAGCAATGGAATCACCTGTTGTAATGGGTGGAATTGGAGTGGAAGCGGCTGGAGCTTCTTCCTCTGATGAAACAGATGCAGCTGGAGTCGCCGGTCCAAAATCATCCAGGATACTCAAATTGATTGCATTAATTAGAACATCGGTTGAGTAAATGCAGTTGCTTACAAGCGTGTTAGAAATTAAACCATATTCAGCCTGATTCTCATCTTCAGAATCGAAATCTTGTTCATCTGCTGTATCTTAGTCATCGGTTATAATTTCATCCATTATTACTGCAATCTCATCCCCTTCAAATTACTCAGTTTTTTACGCGACATTACTGTTTGGTCAAAGCAGCGGGCGCAGGCAGCGCAGTCGTCCGCAGCAGACGCATAATTATTCATATATACAAATTGTACGTTGCTCTGCGAAGCAAGAAGCGCTAAACGTTTAAAAACTCTTATAATGTTTGCTTTGATCGCGCTCAATATTTGCTCTCTTGGTACATTTCCTTTTGTTATCCTTTTCTTAGTCTCTGCAGCTGCCAGTGCAGCTAACGCTTCTCATTGTGCTGTTGTACGAGACAACGACCTTCTACTTTTGCGCATATTGCTTAAAGGCTCAACTATTTGAGTTTGTGGCCTCTTAAATTCGTGTATATTAGTTCGGTTTATAGACAAACATAATTGGCCCTGCGCGGCAAAATATACATATGTACATTTAAAAAGAAATCGTTCTTGTTTTAATTGTCGTGTCTGACGCCCGCTTCAGACAAAACCCATAGACTAAAAAAGGCTCCCGAAAAAGCTCGGTGCCTCAACAATTACTAAGAAAAAATAAATAAGTACCAAAAATACACAAACAAATTAGAGAAATGAGTCAAAGGTATGCGGCACATGAAAACAGATGATGGCATATATTATCTGAATTGTGGGAATCCCCTTATTTACAAAATACTTATATTTGTCGTTTTTATGGAACTTTATGTACATAAAGCTGCCAGTGCAGCTGCAATCGAAGTTAGTTGACCTAGATTCGTCGTGCCAATCTAACGCTTCTCGCTGTGCTGTTGTATGAGACAAAGCACTTCTACTTTTGCGCATATTGTTAAAAGGCTCAACTATTTGAGTTGGTGGCCTCTTAAATTCGTGTATTTTAGTTCGCTTTATAGACAAACATAATTGGCCCTGCGCGGCAAAATATACATATGTTCATTTAAAAAGAAATCGTTCTTGTTTTAATTGTCGTGTCTGACGTCCGCTTCAGACAAAACCCATAGACTAAAAAAGGCTCCTGAAAAAGCTCGGTGCCTCAACAATTGCTAGAGCATCAAAACTATCGATAGTTAAATCAATACAATCAATAATTCCATCGAAGTTTGAATGCAATTAACAGAAAATTTAAATAACAAAAAAAAAGCAAAAGCAAACGACTGCGTAAGCGATAGTAAAGCAGAAACCGAAAGTGGACCTACGCATATTCTGCTTCGCGTTGCGGGCAGATGTACATATGTATGTTTGTATATGATTTGTTCTAATTGATCTCAATAAATTTTAAGATGTTATTATTTAAATTTTCTGTTAATTGCATTCAAACTTCGATGGAATTATTGATTGTATCGACGGATTTAACTATCGATAGTTTTGATGCTCTAGCACATAGAGCATCCGGCACATGCCCATCTCTAGCATCTCAGCTGATCGCATATTTACAGCGACTTACCGTTTTAGTGTTAGCTAACAACGACACAAATGTATTCTGAACAAATCTAAGTGTCATTTACCGTTAAGCCTATTTTGTGAGTGTATTCATGCGATTTACAAAAGCAGAAACACACATTTTACATTCACAACAATCATATTTGGAATTGCAGACACAAATTAGTGTTGAATTAAAAAATTTTAAATCATATGTATGTGTATAGGCGGATAACGCCTGCATGAAAAATTTAAATGTATGTATATATCAGCGTTGCCGAACGCTCCAATTTTGGCGGGACGTCCCGATTTACAAGTATAAATCAAAATTAAATGTCGGACTTTTGGGGGATAACTCGACCGTGCGTACAACGTGCTGAGGAAGCACACAGTTAAGTCAGGACTGGCAGTCCGCCCGGTGCGTAACGATGATATGTACATATGTATGTATGTACGTATAACATTACATAGTACCTATTGTACTATATTTGCTATTTGGAAAATTAACTCTTTAAAAAACGAAAGCGTCGAAAGAAGAATATCATATAATAAATAAACTTATAATAATAAGCACATTTTACTTAGCCCAGCAAAGACGGGCAAGACCTGCTAGTAGATTATAAAAATCAAATTTAAAGATGATCGGTGCAGAAATTCAGAATTTTCAAACAAACTTTGGAGCTCGTTTTCCCCCCTTTGGAGCTTGAATTTTCCAAAAACCCTTCTTAGTGGGCACTTTCGCTATGATAGGATCCTTGAGCCCAAATTTCAGCTTCATAGCTCTTGCCGTTTGGGCTGTGGGCTGTTGACGCGGTTTCCTTTCGTGCCCCATTTTTTTTACAGGAAAACTCCCGTATTTCAGTCCCCCAAAAAAATTTCAAAAAACCAAGTACATAGTTTGAAGTTAATCAGATGTAGATTTTTCATACAAACGTTGGAGCCCCCCCTTTGGAGCTGGAATTTTCCAAAATCCCTTCTTAGTGGGCACTTTGACTATGAAAGGATACTTGAGTCCAAATTCAGCTTCCTAGCTTTTAAAGTTTGGGCTGTACGTTGATCACCAATCAGTCAGTCAGGACAAACTATTTTATATATATAGAGATAATAAAAACACAACCTCTAGACCAAACAAAAAGGAGGCTGGTCCGTATACTTCGATGGCAAGCCACTGAGTCTACGGAAGCAGGACAGGCATCGGAGGAAACCTTAGCAAAGTTTCTTGAGGACGTAGAATGGGCAAGGCGGGTGCTGTCCAACTTCACCCTTGGCTATGAGGTTAATCAACCCTCCAAACGACAGCGTTCGATGGAAATGGACCCTAACGCATGGTCGAAAAAGCAGAAGACTCATGGGAAGACATGGTAAAAATCATTTGCGGAGATGGCCAAAGGACGTAAAGTTATTGGGGTCATAGACCGCAATAATAAGGATGGCAGGATCCCAAAATACCAGTGGCGCTGCCTGTACACACCGGGAGCACAGTTTGCAGTTTTCGATGCCAATTACATCCCAAAACCGACTGCTTCGTCTGGCAACGGGCGAAGTGGATATTGTCCTAATACAGGAAGCGTGGGTAAGTAATAATAGAATCCGGGGTCTTGGCTCATCATAGTTTACCTTGTTCTGTACTTACCGCAAGGTAAACCGCAGTCATGTATCCTAATAAAGAAACCACTTAATGCTATCTTACTCTCTCAATGCAATGTTGGCATAACAGCAGCAAGCATTAAAACCAACGCCAACGACACAGTGGGAACCACTGAATTAAGAATATCATCATTCTATCTCGCCCACGATCACCAAGGCCCATCACCGCTACTAGTGCTGAAATCCTTGGTGGAAGACGGAAACAGAGAAGGGTGGGAGGAGATGGGTTAGTCTCTGTATGGCTACATAACAAGTACTCACCTACTGATATGTACCTTAGGGAACGACCCCACTTTCATTACTAAGAACCATAACGAGGTTTTAGACCTTACACTGAACCAGTTACTGAAGAGGAGCTGGATAGTATAGTCCCAAAATACACAAAATCGTGCGCTGATGCACTTAATAAAGCCTGTCCAAAGACCACCCTGGTGGTCTTCTAAACCTGATGAACTACGAATTATTAGCAGACAGGAATTCAATAAAGCTCGATACGACAATACAGAGGACAGCTGGTCCGTGTACAAAGCCGCTAATAGGAGAGCCAACCGTTCATCATGGACTAAGTTGGACAGTTGGACGGAATCCCGCAAGGAATCACTGGACCTGCTAACGGGCACTCATTCTCCACCGACCGTCCCAGTACTACACACCCGTCCTGTCAAGTTCCAATGTGTCTAATAAATAGTATCGTCACCGAGGATTGCATAACCTGGGCCATCAAAACTTTCAACACCAATAAATCTCCCGGACCGGATGGAGTTTTCCCTGCTCAGCTTCAATTCTCTCTAAGACAAATAATGTCGTGGATTCAGGTGATGCTTAGGGGTAGTGATGTAAATCTGTTTTACATCGGAAACGAAAATCGCCATGATAAACATCGATGCAGCGATGTACCGAGAAACTTAAAATCGATACCTCGATTTTTCATAATAATTACTAATGATGTATGTATGTTGGCTGATCATTATAAACTACCAACAATTGTTTTTCATGAGCGTAAAAAATTTTATGCCGCAGTCAACTGCGACTCTGAAAACGTATCTCAATGGTTTGCTAAAGTGAAGCAACTTGCCATTAATTGCAAATTTGAATCAAATTTGGACGACTTTGTGTTGGATCGCTTTGTCACACGGCTTCCAGAAAATATTTTCGACAAATTATGTGAGGGAGATGAATCCCTAACCCTAACAAACGCATTACATAAAGCCACAATGGAAACGAAGATAATCGCAAAGGCAAATGAAACTTCAAATGTGAGCGCACTCAACGAAGCATGGCATAAAGGGCAGCGAAGAAGTAACGGTTTTAGTACACCAAGACGCAACAGCAGCAGCAGCCGAAGCAACGAGAAGGCAACGGGCAACAATAACAACTACAAGAAAAGTGGACGGCAGCAGCAGAACGAGAAAAGCAAATGTTCACATTGCGGTTGGCGCAATCACAGCTCAAACTCGTGTCGCTTTAAAAACAGCGAATGCCAAAATTGCGGTAAAATTGGGCACCTTGCAAACATATTCAGAAATAGAGATAAGAATATAAATTATGTTAACAATTTTAGCGTAAATTCTGTCAATGATTTTTCTGTTTACAGCTTAGCTACCACCAATAACCACAACACTTATACAGTGTCAGTAAATATTGATAACTATACAATGGACATACATAGCAGTTGACACTGGATTTCCATGCACATTGTTCCCTCAAAAGCTTCTTAATCTAAATAAACGCAGAAGACTTGAGCATTGTAATACCAAGTTCTTAAGTTACACTGGCGATACAATTAAAACAATTGGTGAGTTTTGTGCAAATGTAACATAACCACGAAACCTTTAAAAATAATTGTTGCTCAAGGTAATAGTCAAGCTATTCTAGGTAGATATTTCCTTAGAGATATAAATACTCAGAATATTGCAGAACAGATTAAAAGTGAGTTCAAAGATTTGTTTGATAATACACTTGGAACGTTCAGTTAAAATGAAATTTCATTACCG